TTTTGATTAAAATCGAAGTTTTAATCCGCTGCACTAATTCACCCCCCCCCTCTTAGTGCCGCTCCGATCCTAACATGTACTAGACCTGATATTGCATTTATTGTGGGGATGCTAGGTCGATATCAGAGTAATCCAAGTATGGACCACTAGAGAGCTGCAAAGAAAGTGATGAGGTATCTACAAGGAACCAAAGATTACATGCTTATGTATAGACATACAGACAATCTGGATGTGATTGGTTACTCAGATTCAGACTTTGCCGATTGTGTTGATTCTCGTAAATCAACATCAGGATATATTTTTGTGATGACCGGTGGAGCTATTTCTTGGAGAAGCGCTAAGCAGACCTTGATTGCTACTTCTACCATGGAAGCTGAGTTTATCTCCTATTTTGAGGCTACTTCACATGGTGTATGGATTAAGAGTTTCATTTCTGGGCTTAGAATCATGGATTCTATTTCTAAGCCATTAAGAATTTTCTGTGACAATTCAGCTGCTGTCTTTATGGCTAAAAATAATAAAAGTGGAAGTAGAAGTAAACATATCGATATTAAGTATCTAGCCATAAGAGAACGTGTAAAGGAAAAGAAAGTGGTCATTGAGTATATTAGCACTGAATTGATGATTGCTGATCCTTTGACTAAAGGCATACCACCTCTGAAATTCAAGGATCATGTAGAGAAAATGGGACTTGGTTCCACTTTGTAATGATATTAAAACTCTTATATATTATGTAATTTTCTCATTCATGTGCATATTATTTTGAGAAAATATATTGTTACTGGACCAAGAATAAACATAAGGTTTATTCATTAAGTAATATTGCCATATTAAAATTAAGAAACTAAATACATCATGATACATGGATGATAATACTTGCTCTTAGAGGACTTATCGCTATGATTCGTGTATTTATTTCTTAAGAAAGTTGTTCAAGAAAATTTAATTTAAATTATTAAGATAAACGTATGGACCAAGTGGGAGAATGTAACCGTTATTATTAAATATTTAATTTAATAATAATATAACTGTTCTCATTATGATTCATAATTCATTATCATGAATTTCTTCATTTATTATTATTTAAATGATTTCAGTTTTTTATTCTTTATACATGAAACCGTTATTATTAAATTGAATATTTAATATCATTAAAGTTCTTCGTTATGGTTCAAACGTTACAAATTTGAATTAATTCTTGAACGTTATAAATTAGTGATAATGAATGTTCTTGATGGGAATATATATATATATATATATATATATATGAGGATTTTGGTCCTTGGGCTCAATCATTTCTTTGAAGCGAAAGGCTTTCCTACACCATCTAAAGCGAGAGTTCTGAGCCGAGAAGTACTAAAGTTCAAGAAGAAACCTCTACATAAATTCTTGGTGACAATGGCTGGAGGTACGCTATTTTGTTTTCGCATCAGTTTTTTATTTTTTATTGTGTTTCTATTATAACGATTTAGAAACACAAATTGGTTTCAGTGATTTTTAACAATCCAGTATTTTATCGAATTGAAAATATTAAAATTTTAATACCTTAAATATGTTTTTTAAATTCTCCAATTATTATGCTCTTTTTCCAATATTTGAGAAAGGGACAAAAATTTAATATTATTATATTAATTGGTCAATATTAACTAATAATTACATCAATAAGTTTGTTGAAAGTAAATATTTATCGTGATAATTCTTGTCCAATTAATAACAGCGTAGCTGGGAATTACCAAACCTCATTTCTTTTTTTCTTTGTGACACCCACCCGGATGATCAAAATCTTTTGTTTTTTAAAGATTGATGCAGTTAGGTATTACTAATCATCATTCTTGCTTTGGAAGTTAGACTGATACTTTTTAAACTTAAATTTGAATACAACTTTTTTTTTTTAATTTTATGAGTGGAAGGAAGGAAAGTCACTTCAGGCGATGGATGATCTTTGTAATGATGGGACAAAATTAATTAAATTCCTAATTATCTAATTAATTTAGAATATATGAAATGATATATCATATCATAATATAATTGATAAAATATCGTTAGGATTGGATTAAACGTCATGTCGAACGATATCTTTTAGCGAGCTACAAGATGATTGATGGAAATCGTTGTTGGTATAACAAACTAATGACCGATTTCAATTATAGTTAAGAAATGCTGGAGAAACAACCTCGTCAGGGCTCCGCTACGACGCTATCACGTTGAAGGCACGTGATACCGAAGATTAAAAAATAGAAAAGAAGGTATTTTTTTTTTGGGTTATAGCTTGATGGACGCGGAGATCGGTTAATTTCTCGGAGATCGCAAACCCGCCCCACGGTCTCTCCTTGAGCGCGGGAACTCATCCGAGTTCGCCAAAATCTCCCGCCGTGCTCTCGTCCTCGAACCCTAGCTGTTGTTGGTCCGAATATCAGTTGGCTGGAGTTCGATCTGCAACGATCGGTTCCGGAAATCTGATGGGCAAATCCGTGGAAGAAGCAATGCTGAGGGAGATCGAGGGCACGCCGTCGCCCTCCGAGGCGAAGCGGCGGCGGAGATGCGTCCAGTCCAAGCTTTGTTGGGGTCGACCCAGGGGAGATGGTGGAGAGGCGGCGGCGACGGATGTGGTGGAAGCGGGGGAGAGCGAGCGGGAAGACACCGAGGGGGAGAACACGGGGAAGCGGGAGAGGAAGAGGAAACCCAAGGCAAAAACTCCCAAGAAGGTGATTTCTTGCAGATCGGTCTTTTTGTTTGGGGTTAGGTTTAAATATCTGACCGTTTCTAGGTTCCTTTTGTTGTTTTCTGTTTCTTGTGTCCTCAAATTTCTGTTCCTTTTCTTTTTCTATTGGAGTTTGGTGGCAAGCCGGATTTCGAGTTCCCTTTAATTTCCAGTCATGAGAACAAGCCAAGATTCAGTTCAATGTGTTGCCAATCTTTTTTTCAATGATTCTCTCAAGAAGCAACATTGAATCTTTACCTTTTTGCATCCCTGCTTCCAATCTTTACAGAGCCGACAATTTTTCTTCTGAATTCAAGATTTTTTTTACATGCATATTGTCTAATCTCTTTAAAACTTCCCTTGCAGTCTCCAATTATTAGAAGGACACCAAGAACGGGAAACAAAAGTTCGTTGGTATCACCTGGTAAGTTTACATATAGGCATCGTCAAATATGTTGCTGCCCCCAGGAAGTAGATGATTGGAGATGCATCATATTATTAAATAAAAACAATATTTTCATGTACTGTAGAGTGACCCAACAAACTATTTAATGCATAAGATGGCTTGCACATGTGACATATTAATATATATATTTATAAGCTATTCTTTAACTATTACAGTAACTTCTCTCTAATGAGTCTTAAACAGTATAATTATTGAATATGCTTATGCATAAAGCATATAAAATTTCTCATTAGCTTTTGTACGAAAAAATGATGAAGTTTAATACCACGTATTAATTGTTCTGATAAAAAAATCTTTAATCATTTTTTAATATGAAACTGAATGCAGACTTGGTTAATTTCTGTTTTTGAAGCATTGGTTCCTGTCATTTAGGTTGAGGTCTCACTAGTATCAATGCTATTATTAAAAACAGGGGGTATCTAATGGACTGTCATGACTCCTTTTTTTCTTGTGATCAAGAACCCTAGAGGCCATTCTAAATTCACTCGTGTTGTGTTAATATTTGAGGCACCATTAAGTTTCATTCTTGGCATGGCAAACTTAGTGGCCTCTCTCACCCTTCAAATAGTATGCATGTCCAAAGAATGGAAATTAAAATAGCCCATGATAACAACATGAAGAAAAATAATTCAGAAAGGTTGCACTCAAATAAATTAAAAAAAAAAATGCAGAGAGCATGAGCAATAAAAAAAGGATTCATAATCAGTGTATAATTCTAAAATTATAGAGTATGGTGGAATGACGTGAAATGATCAATATTGCTCCCATTCATACATATTTCTTGTGTCTAATAAATGCAGATATGATAACCCAAACACACTAGATTCTCATGTAGATGAGTTTTGTAATGTAATGAGGATGGTTAAAGAATGTCATATCTACTATGTATCATATTGAGGATTGTTAAAGAATAGAATAGAATTTGAGATCTACATGCCCTGACTTGGTCAGAAGAAGAACTGTGCAAAATATTACTGTCATAAATATTGGATTCTTGGACAATTCTTCAAATTTTAGTGCAATTGTAAGGCAAGGGGTTCTATGATTAACCATAGAGAATGTGCATGAAATTGTTAATGGTGCATCACTGACTGAATACATTATCCTCGATCAGTGAACAAATTAGATGATTCTGACCAAATACATTATCCTCGCTTGGTAACTATATAATGCTTACCCTTTGAGCCTGTTACTCTCTTTGTGAAGTTGAAATTTCCAGGAATTTGAGTGCTCATGCCTAATAGTATAATTTTTGCTTAGAAGTTCAGAATTTCCTCATGTATTTCCTTTAAACATGACTAAAGAAAGTCTTGTTTTCTTGTATTTTGCACTTCTTTGGAGAATATAAATTGACCTAATTTTCAGTTTTAACAATGGGTAAAAGATTCTGGATGCTGCTAATGCATTTTATGCATATTCATATATGCCCCTATATCTTGCTTGTAAAAGTGTTATTTAGGACATTCAGCAAAATAGAGGAAGTGAACTCTTTTCCTTATTTTTTGTTTAGATTCTATAATGAGGATTGATTCCTTGGAGCATTTTTGAAGGTAATAAGAGTGGCAAAAGTTTGAAGAATTGTCAGAGTAGTGATGCTAGTAAATCTGATGCCACAAAGGATCTAGATGGCCCATTCAGCCCAAAGTGTAATCTTCACTTAGAGGCAAAGCTAGCAGCCGAGGTACTTAGTATTTTCACTCTTTTGTTTGCTGGTAATTCCCTAAATTATTGTTGGTGTTCCAGGAATTTTATTTACCTTAGTTACATGCAGCTTCATGGAATGTTTCTTCTGCACCTTTCTTTTACAGTCGAAGAATTTCACTATGTACTGGTCAATGCTTTTTCTCATTATCTATAAATAATTTAAAAATAAATGACAATAAATTAACTCATATATAATCTCTAAACTATGTTGTTCTTTACATTACACAGTTACAGTATCACAAATTTGTGAGTAATGTGTCTGACATTAATAGAACTGATGAAACACAGATTCCTGACCAGTTCGTTCAACATTATTGAAAGCTCAAGAATTTTAGTGTCATATCCTGTCTATTAATACTGCATACATGGTGTAGTCTGCATTCTTGCATGATGTAAGATCTTATAGGTTGAAGATGTATGTATTCCAAAATTTACACTAACATGTAATGAAACATTTGATTCATATCATGGTTTAAAGCAAGGTATGCAATATCGTACCGTACCGGTGTTTCGAGATTGGCTCGGTACGGTATGGTACCGGTGTATCGAGTGATACACCAGGGCGTACCGAGCGGTACACCTTGGTGTACCGAACAATTTTATATATTTTCTTTATTACTATAGTACCGTAGCACTGCTACAGTATAGCACTGCAGTACTGTAGCACTGCTATAGTGTAATTCTGTAGCACTATAGCGGTACCGGACGGTCCACGTACCGGTATGCTGTCAGATCGGTACGTACCGCCCGTACCAGGCGGTACCATTCGGTACTGCATACCATGGTTTAAAGTACCTGTCAGACTGACATGGACCAACCAATTTTTTACTGGTCCAGCCAAGCACTAGTAATGGATCATGCAGGTTGATACTCCTTGATATACCATTTTTTATTATTTTATTCAGTAAGACTAGGTGGTACAAGTTGGTATACTGCTCAGTATCTTGGTACCATGTTTGCCTGATAAGTTGCCAAAAACGATATTGGATTGATTTTCAAAATCTTCCCTTACATTTCCAGAGCAGATAATACTCTCACGTGCTCCCCATAATTGTCAACAATTTGTTTCCAGAGACTCTACGGTTCAGAAATTCCAAATTGATTCAATCATAATTCACCGTCAACATTTCCATGTTTTCCAAGTAGAAAATTTCCTGTGTACTTACATGTGCAATTGTTCTCTTCTTGTATCTTTGTGTGTTTTCCTTTTGTCTAGGCAATGCAATCTTTATTCTAGAATGATCATACTGTATTTCTACCTTTTATGCATAATCATACATTGACATTTTTGCCTTTATGAAAAAGGTTTACATGGCTCCTGTAGAGAGCCATTTAGAATTTTAAAAATTAAAGAGAGGTTTGGTTCTCAAGGAGAGGTTGGGGTCCTATAAAAAGTGTAAACATGATGTTCTTTTTCCTGCTGGAGTCACATGACCGTGGGGTTTTACAGTTCAGTTCTTTTTTTTCTGTATCTGTATGTCTTTCCAATCCTCTATTTTAAATATTAGCTGTTATACCTATCCAGCAGATGAGTATTATTAACAATATAACTAGGCTTCACCTTTTTGTAAAAGTTTTCAATTATAATTTTTTTAACCCCATGTAATTTAGGTTGTTCTGTCAGATTGACTGAGAACAAACTATTGTTTCTATTAACAGGAAAACATGCACTTATCCGCAGGAAAGCAGATGCACCCATTATTCACTTCTAGAAAAGAAGTCAAGATGTTGCGAGAGGTCCAAGATACTAAGAAGTTGGAGGACAGGCAATTGCCTTGGTATATGTGGGGCGAAGTTATTTCTTATGCACCTGTTCATATACTTGGTACTCAGGTGCATAGTTATGTTGGTTTCTACTTTCTGACTTTCTGTAAAGGTTATCAGCATATGATGTTCCTAAATATGACTGTTTCAGTAGTATATCTTGCTCTTTTTTTGGTTTTAGGTTGATGACGTTTCATTGGATTGGGGTAATTGGAACTTTATGGAGCAAACACTTGACTATGGTGGTCGTGCTTTGGAAGATTCTTTAGTGGTTTGTGGGGGCTTAGTTAAGCCTTTAAGGCTAGATACTTCTTTTCTTGAGGAGATGCACATGAATCAAACATCAAACACAGAAGAAAAGAGCTCCACAATAACCACATTTGTAGTATCTGATGGGCAATATGAAAAGCAGCAGCTATTGCCCTACCTAGAGGTATTTCATTGCTGACTGTTACATGCTCAAAACTAATCATGTATGTGTTTGTAAGGTCCTCACTGTTGTTTTTGTTCTTTTGGCACCATTCTTCTGACTGTATATGTATTTCCAGTACCATCTAAATAGCAACTTTCCTTTGTTATCAAGATGTGGTAGTTATGTAGAAAATTCAGAGAGCAGGCATCAGGATGAACTTCATAAAGAAAGGTAAGAAATATGGAAATTCTCTTTTTTTTGTGCAGATCTTATAGGCACTATGTCAACTTTTGGATAATCTCTATCTGTAGCCTTTTGTTTGTTGAACTTTTAATCTTGGCTTCCCCGGAAATTGTTTCTGAATTTTTTAGGTTGTTGTCATACTATAGACGTTCTGAGTATTGCCCTGAATGTAGCCTCTGGACAGCCAAGTACCAGCCAGAAAATGCCTCAGAGGTGAGATTCAAGTTTGCTCTCTCCTTGTGCTGCTCTTGGAATACAGAGAGCTAACAATTTTGAATTTTGATCAGAGCAATGACAGGCACACTAGCCTGCATTAGTATGGATAATTGGCACTTGTGCCTTACCAAATATGCTTGATTTTTCATTCTGCTTGGTTTGTGCTAGTCAGCAGATATGCTACCAAAAAGAAAATCCTGCTGCTATCACATAAAATTTATTTCATCATTGATCAACATCTCCGATATGAGAGGCTAACTTTATCAGGTTGGTTCTGCAGGTCTGTGGAAATTTTCAATCAGTTAGACAGCTTAGTGAATGGCTCAAGTCTTGGCATGACAAAGGTCAAAAAAGTGGCAAGAAATGTAGCTCTAGGGAGCATTATACAGTTGAAGATGATGAAATCTTGTCTGAGACTGAATTTGATATGGATGACCGAGAAGATGATTTCAAACTTAGCAATGTGCTTTTGATTACCGGGCCAGTTGGGGTGCGTATTGACCTGCAAATAATTAGTATCTGTTTTTTTGTGTCTTTGTTCTTGATAGATTTGATAATGGTTGTGTTTCTAGAACTTTCTGTTAACTAATCATCTGGGATCTGATTTTCTCTAATTTTCTTGATAATATCATGTCTCAGAAAACTTAAGTGGGTGGGATTTTGCTTTAGATTACCATGGTTTAAAAACTTGGTCTGGTGCCAATATGGTTGACCGCTGCTGGGCCAAATATGGTTCTGGTATGAACTGATGTACCAATACTCGGTATGTGTCAATACCGCCCAGCGCAGAGAGAGAGAGAGAAAGAGAAATAGGAGAGAAGATGGGGGAGGTGGAGATGATGGTGGAGAGGGAACCAACAGAGAAGGCGGAGGTGGTGAAGGACAAGGCGGCTGAGAAGTGAAGGAGATGCAATGCATATTAAAGGAGGTGATGGTGGTGACATGAGGAGAGGATGGCGGTGGTGATGAGAGGAGGCAGATGCGGAGGTGAAGGCTGCTGTTGGTTCAGCAGATGCAGCTGCAGTTGTGGTGGAGGTTAAATTTGCAGCTTTGTCTGTAGTTGCAGCAGAGAGAGAGATAGAGGGGAGGAGTAATCTCTGCAAACAACTGTTGCTGTTTATAGTTTTCTAGAAGTTGTAAACTTTCCAAAGGCTCTATAAAAGCAGGTTTACAACTTTGAGAACCTTGTCAATTTACGGCCAAAAATGATTTACAGAAACTTAAGAGAGAAAAAAAACCAGGTATGTACTTACCATCCAGTGCATCTTATTTTGAACTGGACCAAACAAAATTGCCCAATCCATGTGTCAGTCCCCTGCCGGACCAATAAATACTGTGGTGTACCTCATGGATTTTAAAACTTAATGCCTAGTTCTTTCTGTCATTTGTTAAAGTGCCACAGCAGATATGCACATTCTGGTACCAGATTGGGAAGAGTTAAACTTGCTCTATTACATGTATCCTACTTGTTTTTCACATTGCTTTAAGCTGTTAACTAGAAACAGCTTATTTATATTTGGTACGTGTTACTTCAAACCAAGGTATGCAATTTCGAATAATACCGCCCGGTACGAGCGGTACGTACCGGTCCGTCAGCTTACCGGTACATGGACCACTCGTTATCGGACGGAACGATATATATATATATATATATATATATATATATATATATATATATATAAACGAGGTGATGTTGCGTCGTTGAGGCAACGCGACGTTGCCTTTTATAAAAATATTATATATATATATATAAACGAGGCGACGTTGCATCGCCTCGACGACGTCGCCTCGCGTGGGAGAAGGAAAAGGCGACGTCGCCGAGGCAACGCGACGTCGCCTTTTATAAAAATATTATATATATCAAGGTTCGCTGTACCGTACTGTATCGGCGTTTCGACCCGGGCTCGGTATGGTGCGGTACCGGTGTACCGGGCGGTACATCAGGGCGTACCGAATATATTTTTTTATTTTTTATACTGTAGCAGTGCTACAGTATAACACTGTAGCGGTATCGGGGCGGTCCGCATATCGATAACCTGTCGGACC